GGAATGTCCCCACCCCGGGCCACGTCCTGGCACTGTCCCCATGTCCCCATCCCCAGCCGAGGGACCCCATCCCGCATGGCCGGAGCTCCCCAAAACCCCCGTGGGTCGGCACCGGCGCCCCCGGTGTGCCCCCCCCCGTGTCCCCCCGTACCTGGCGGAGCGGGCCGGGGTGACCGGCGGGGCCCGCAGGGGCAGCGAGGAGGGGCGCGGGGGGTCGGGGGGCTCCGGGGGCTTCCAGGGGGGCACCTGGAGCGTGCCCGAGAGGCGGCGGCGCCCGCGGCGGGGGTCGGCACCGGGCATGGCCCGGAGGGGCTGCGGGGGGGGCACGGGGCACGTCAGAGAGGCCGGGGAGCACGGCACGGCATGGCACGGCCAGGCACGGCACGGCATGGCCAGGCACGGCACGGCACGGCATGGCATGGCCAGGCACGGCACGGCATGGCACGGCATGGCCAGGCACGGCACGGCACGGCATGGCACAGCTTGGCAAGCGAGCGGCGCAGCAGAGTAGCACAGCACGGCACGGCATCACCCGGCGGGGCACAGGGCACGGCACGGCATCAAACTGCACGAATTGGCACGGCACGGCACGGGATGGCACAGCGCTGGCACGGCACGGCTCGGGATGGCACGGCACGGCTCGCGATGGCACCGCCCTGGCACGGTACGGCACGGGATGGCACAGCGCTGGCACGGCACGGCTTGGGATGGCACCGCCCTGGCACGGCACGGCACGGCACGGCACGGCCGCAGGAGCCCCCCGCCCTCCCCCCGGTGCCCCTCACCTGCGGCTCGGGCCCGGCCACGCCGCTCCGGTTCCTGCTCATGTGGGGTGCCGGGGCTCGGGGCACCGGGGCCGCGAGGGGGGACCCCGGGATGTCCCGGGGAGCGGCGGGACCTGCGGGGAGAGAGGAGGGTGAGAGGGGAGTGCGGAGATCCCCGGTAACCCCCGGTAATCCCCGGTACCCCCGGTAATCCCCGGTAACCCCCCGGCTCCTCCCGGTACGGGTTGCCAAGGAAACCGCGGCATCGCATCCCGTGGGACCGTCGGCCACGGGCATCGCCACCGCTTCCCGCGGCACCGGCACCGGAATCCTCTCCGCGGTACCGACAGCACCCCCGGTACCGCCGGACCCGCAGCTCCCGGGCCCGGAACCCCCCAGGCCCGAATTCCGCATTCCGGGGACCCCCGCCGTTCCGGTCCCGGCCGTTTCACGGTACCGGGGCAGCACCGGGACCCGGGGGGGCTCTGGCCGAGGCAGGGATGGGAGGAAGGAACCGCCCGGTGCCGTTCCCGTGCCCGTTGCCGTTCCCGTGCCCGGTGCCGTTCCCGTGCCCGTACCTGGCCGCCTCCCGGTGCCGCACCGCTGCCCGGCATCCTCCCGCCTTTGTCTCCGGCGGGAGCGGCCCCGGTGCCGGCGGGAGCGCCCGGTGCCAGCGGCGGAAACGCGGCGGGGGCGGCTCCACCCACCCCGCACCGGCCCCGCGCCCGCCCGTGCCGGTGCCGGTGCCGTGCCCGTTCCCGTTCCCGGTAGTACCTGGCCGCCTCCCGGTGCCGCGGCGCTGCCCGGCATCCTCCCGCCTTTGTCCCCGGCGGGAGCGGCCCCGGTGACAGCGGCGGAAACGCGGCGGGGGCGGCTCCTCCCACCCCGCACCGGCCCCGCGTGTCCCCGGGACCGGGAGCTCCCGGTGTCCCCGGGGCTGCCCGGGCGTGCCTGCCGCGTCCGTCTGTCCCCCTGTCCTGCTGTCCCCGTGTCCCCCTGTCCCTCTGTCCCCTCTCTGTCCGTCTGTCCTCTCTCTGTCCGTCTGTCCCCCTGNGTCCGTCTGTCCCCCTGTCCTGCTGTCCCCGTGTCCCCCTGTCCCTCTGTCCCCTCTCTGTCCGTCTGTCCTCTCTCTGTCCGTCTGTCCCCCTGTCCTGCTGTCCCCGTGTCCCCCTGTCCCTCTGTCCCCTCTCTGTCCCCTCTGTCCTCCTGTCCCTGTGTCCGTCTGTCCCCTCTCTGTCCCTCTGTCCCCGTGTCCTGGTGTCCCTCTGTCCCTTCTCTGTCCGTCTGTCTCCCTGTCCTGCTGTCCCCGTGTCCCTCTGTCCTGCTGTCCCCGTGTCCTTCTGTCCCCTCTGTCCTGCTGTCCCCCTGTCCTTCTGTCCCCCTGTCCCCGTGTCCCTCTGTCCCCCTGTCTTTCTGTCCCCTCTCTGTCCCTCTGTCCCCCTGTCCCTTCTCTGTCTCCCTGTCTCCTCTCTGTCCCTCTGTCCCCGTGTCCTGGTGTCCCTCTGTCCCTTCTCTGTCCCTCTGTCCCCCCTGTCCTTCTGTCCCCTCTCTGTCCCTCTGTCCCCATGTCCTGCTGTCCCTGTGTCCGTCTGTCCCCTCTCTGTCCCTCTGTCCCCATGTCCTGCTGTCCCTGTGTCCGTCTGTCCCCTCTCTGTCCCTCTGTCCCCCTGTCCCTTCTCTGTCTCCCTGTCCCCTCTCTGTCCTTCTGTCCCTCTGTCCCCTCTCTGTCCTTCTGTCCCTCTGTCCCCTCTCTGTCCCCCTGTCCCTCCACGACGGACAAAGGGCTTCTCTCCTTCTCCCCCTCCCGAACCCCCTGCAATAACCCCAAAAAAGGAAGTTTTAACCTCAATCTGAACCCCTCCGATCCCGGGAAATCGGCATTTCCCCTCCAGTTTCATCCCCCCACAGTGCTCCCCTTTCCCCCTTTGGTTTTCCCTCGGAAATCGCCATTTTGGGGGATTTTGGACGATTTTCCCCCTTTGAAGGTCCCTCGATGAAACCCCTAAAAAAGGAACCTCTCCATTTAAACCCTTCAAAACGAGGGGAAACGGGGATTCCTCCCCAGCCCAACCCTCCGGGGGATGAAAGCGGGGGCTGCCCTCATTTCCAACGTTAAAGGGATTTCCCGTGTTCTTCAAACCCGGAGCTAAGGGGAAGCGGCGGTTCCCCGGCGAGGGGCACCCCCAAAATCACGGGGAAAAAAATCAAATTTCTTCAAAGCGGCACCTCCAACACCGCAGCTGCAGCGGTCCTGGCGTGGCCACCCCTCTTCGTGCCCTCCCCAAATCCTGTCCCAGGACCCCCAAACTGCTCCGTGCCCCCAAATCCTCTCCAAAATCCCCCCCAGCCCCCCAAAATCTCCTCGGGGGTCTCATGCCCCGCCGCTTTACGACAGCGTGGCCAGCGCGGCGGCAGCGCTTTACGGCGGTGAGGGGGCGGCGCTGCTTTACGGCAGCGTGGCGGTGCGCTCGGATCTGCCCGGATTAAAAAATCTTTTAATCGCCCTTTAAAGCCCTCAGACCCACGGCAGCACCCCCGACAACGCAATTGTGCAAAGTGCGTATCTCACGATTAGCTTTTCGCAAACGTTACCGTGAATATTGTACGTGTAATGTTAGAAAGCGATGCTGTGTTCATTCTCTGAAGTAGTGTGTTAAATACAGTTTTAGGTTACAGCTGTGCAAAACGCCGGCCACATAATGTTAAAATAGAAACTCTGCGGTATAGGATTTGTTACAAGATCGAGCGAGAAGATAATCAAGAAACTCTTCACACAGAGATGGCAGCGAAGGGCACCCATAAAAAGTTACAGCCTCCTTATCACAAAAGACAAATATTCTTCCACCTTCTCTCTGTCCTTTTGGAACCAATAAGAGTAAGGAGAAGTTGACAAAAACCAGAAAAGTTCTTAATTTTCAAGGAATTTATGCATCATGTATGAGATATATGAATATGCAACAGGCTATTGTTTGTAAGATTACTCCTTTGTTCACAAGGGATGATTTTCGTGACTCAGTGTCCGAGAGCATCCCAACATCCATAATTCTTTGGTTTTTATTGTCTTGTGATTGTCCTAATTCTAAACTTTATTACTCTAATTGTATTACTATTTTTATAACCATTTTATTATTATTAAACTTTTTAAAATTTTAAAAACCGGGCGATTGGCGTTTTTCACACAATGGACACCCTCAAAACCCTTGCCGCACCTCTAAACCGTGTCTAGAAATCCCAAAAACCACCCCCCAGTGCACCCAGTGGCCTCAGGGAAAACTTCTGAGGGGAAAAGATGCTGAAATGGAGTGGAAGAAGCTTTTTTTTTTTTTTTTCCCCTGGTGTTTGTGTGGTGGAAAAAGGGGGGGAAACGTGAGGGGGAAAAGGGCGGGAAAGGTGGGGGGAAAAGAGAAGGAAATGTGAGGGGGAAACGTGGGAAATGTGAGGGGGAAAAGGCAGGAAATGTGAGGGAAAATGTGATGGAAAAGGGGTGGGAAACTTGAGGGGAAAAAAGGG